ATTACAATAGTCAATGCAAAGGAGAAGAGAAGAGTGACTGAAGAAGAAAATGGAGGGATCTCTTCCAGAAAATACAAGAAATCAATGGAAAATTTAAACCTAGATTAGGAATGCTGAAAGATCAACAAGGAGGCATACTATATGACAAGGATAAAATAAAGAGAAGGTAGAAACAATATAGTGGAGGACTATGCAGAATAGATAGATGACAGATTTCTTTGAAGAGGAATTTGATGAAGCAGGACCTGTAACTTTAGGAAGTGAAGTAAAAGCTGCTCTGAGAGCATTTGGAAGAAATAAATCATCAATAATAAATCGAATATTGATAGAACTGTTCCTTAGCCACAGAGACTGAATCTGTCAAAATCCTGACAATGTGTCAACAAACATGGAAAACAACTGCCCACAAAGTGGAAACATTCAACATACATTTGAGTCCCCAAGAAAGGAGATATCAAGAGGTACAGTAACTACAGGACCACTGCATTAATTTGTCATGCAAACAAAGTGATGTGCAAGAAATACATGATGTTCAAGCTGGATTCTGAAAAGAATAAACTAGAGATCACATCACAAATATACACTGACTACTGAAGAACATCAAAGAATTTTAGAAGATCAGTCTATGCTTTATCAACTACAGCAAAGCATTTGACTGAGAAGCTACAGATTCTGAAAGAAATCATCATCGTTCAGTCGTTCAGTCGTGTCCAACTCTTTGTGACCCCATGGACCAGAGCACACCAGGCCCTCCTATCCTCCACTGCCTCCCGGAGTTGTGTCAAATTCATGTCGGTTGCTTCGATGACGCTGTCCAACCATCTCATCCTCTGTCGTCCCCTTCTCCTCTTGCCTTCACACTTTCCCAGCATCAGGGTCTTTTCCAAGGAGTCTTCTCTTCTCATGAGATGGCCAAAGTATTGGAGCCTCATAGGTGAGCCTTAATCACTTGATTGTCCCAATCTGTAACATGTATTGTAGATATGAAGCTACTGTTAGGACGGAATAGGGAGGAAAAGAATGGGTTCCAATAGGCAAAGATGTCAGACAAGGTGGTATTGTATTTATCTGTTCAATCTGTATAGAGAATATATTGTATGGAAAGATGGATTAGATTCAGAAGAAGGACGAGTGAAAATTGGTGGAAGAAACATCAGTAATTTAAGATATACTGTACAGTTAACGTCATATTAGCTGAAGCAGCAATGACCGGCTGCAGTTGAACATTAAGAAGACAAAACACATAACTACAAAAGAACGACACGACTTTAACATTGACAATGAAGACACTGAAACAGTGAAAGATGTATACCTTGGAGCAATCATCAGTCCAAATGGAGACTGCAAGCAAGAAATCAAAAGATGACTAAGGTTCAGAAGACCAGCAGTAAGAGGGGACTAGAAAAGATCCTGAGTGTAAGAATGTGTCACAGGAGACCAAGGTCAAGCTCATATATGCTGCTGTATTCCTGAATACTATGTACGGGTGTAAAAGCTGGGCAGTGAAGAAAGCTGGCAGAAAAACAATTGATTTATCTGACATACTGTATAGCACTAGAGGAGACCTTTGATGATACCCTGGACCACAAGAAGAATCAACAAGTGGATCCTAGATTAAAATCAAGCCTCAACATTCTCTGGTGGTAAAAATGATGAAACTGAGGCTGCCATACTTGGGCACATCATAAGACCAGACAAAAATGCTAAGAAAAGAAGACCGCAGGGAAAGATGATCAAATATGAGATGTGTTGACTGAATAAAGGAAGCAACAGTTTTGAGTTTGCAAGAGCTGAGCAGGGTTGTTGATGATAGGCCATTTTGAAGATCACTCATTCATAAAATCACCATAGGTTGGAGGCAATTTGACAGCACATAACAATAGCATGGTAGCATGAAGCTATCATGAAACCCTGAGCTTTAGAGTTAAAATCATATAGGTAAATATTAATTTTAAAATATTATTTAAAGAGAAATGCAAGAAAACATAAACTGAAATTCAGTTCATATAACATATAAGGCTGATGACAACACCAGTAGAGATTTTTCAGAAATTAAACATTTCCAACTTCTGCCCCTATGTTCCTCCTGAGGCTCCCATGTAAGCTCTTTTACTGTAAGGAAACCACAAGGCCAAGGAATGGAGGGGGGAAATCTTAAATTTTGAAACTTTATCAATCTGAATGGAGACTCAGCTAAGAGAGCAGATGAAGACTGGGGCTTTGACTACATTGTCAAGCTGAGTTAGAGTGCTTTGGCTTTGCTGTGGCTTGATTTGCAGCCTGATTTACACTTCTATTAGGATTAAGTGACTGCATGGAGACCGTGGGTTGTTTTGGTGACAGTGTTCACACTGGCCACTCTACTTCAATCGGCACCACAGCCTACATCCTCCTTTCCTCCAATCCAACTCTCAACTAATGACCAGGTCTCCTTTTATGGTTTATTGCAAAGCTGGTGGGCTGTTTAGTTGCACAGTATTAGAGAAAAGAGACAGCTTTCCAAAGTTCCCCATAGCACACAGAAACCTTGTAGTCTGCTGTAGTTTAAGCTTTCTTTTTGTCTGTAGAGAGGTGACTGCGTGCTAAATTAATCTATCCAATGTAGTGATAAAGTGATCTAGCATTACACTCGGTAGTTTGTTAAAATAAATAAATTAACAAATACTTTTAGGCAACTAAGAAGAAAGATCAAAGAGTGAGTGTTCCTGCTGTCCAAATCATCAAGCCCAGCTTAGTATGTTACCAGAATACCACCGACAGTTGCGTCACCCACCCTTTTGAAGAACAAAACAATTGATCACATAAGGGAGACGCCGTTCAAATTGCTCCAGCTTTAGAAAAGTAGAAGCCCCCAGAGGCAAAGGCTGTAGATATGAAGGAAAAAGGTCTGGGTTGATTCACATTGGTCTTTGTGTTTTGGATCAGTTTTTAAAAGTTCAAATTAATGTGTTCTAGCTTATTTCCATCTCTGGCAGATAGCCCAGCTGCGTCCCTGTCTAGATGTTGGGTCGCTCACCACTCTGGTCCATGCGCTTGTCATCTCGAGATTAGACCACTGTAATGCTCTCTACGTGGGGCTCCCTTTGAGAACTATGCAGAAACTCCAGATGGTGCAGCAAGCGGCGGCCCGACTTCTTACTGGCGTAAGGAAATATCAACATATTACTCCCACTCTGGCCGCCTTGCACTGGCTGCCCGTTCGGTTCCATGTAGATTTCAAAGTTTTAACGCTTACATATAAAGCCCTAAATGGTTTAGGGCCCCCTTACCTGACGGAACGCCTTCTCCCACCTAGGTCTACCTGTATCACTTGATCTAGCCACAAGGTGAGACTGAGAGCCAAACACCGAGGGAGGCCCAGAAAGAAAAAATGAGAAACCGGTCTTTCTCGGTGGTGGCTCCTCGTCTTTGGAATGGCCTCCCTCCTGAGATCCGTATGGCCCCTTCCCTGGGCATCTTTAAACGCCAACTGAAAACCTGGCTGTTTAAGCAAGCCTTTCCTCCATCCACTGCCTGATTTGTTCTCTGTGCCTTTTTCCCATCTGGATTAATGTGGTTTCTTTTTTTAGTAAAATGTTGTTATTATTTTAAATGTATTAGATTTGATATGTTGTTGCCTGCCCAGAGTAGTCGGTACGACTAGATGGGTGGGCTATAAATGTAACAAATAAATAAACAAATAAATTATGGATACTCTGGACCACCAAAAAAGTTAGGTTACCTACCTGTAACCTTGGTTCTTCTTCTGGTACTCTGTGATTTCACACAAATGGGTTAATCCTGCACCTGCGCAGGACATCTGGAAGATTCTAAAGCTTTGAAAAAGAAACAGTTTAGTTCCCCTCCGGCTCCTCAACCTTCCTTTCAGTTCCCTGAGTCCGCCATTATCGTATAAAGTGTAGATAAGCATGGTATTTTGACGGTATCGTGACGGACAGTGGGGAGGAAGGAAGGGATGTGTGAATTCACAGAGTACCACTAGAAGAACCAAAGTTACAGGTAGATAACCTAACTTTCTTCGTAGTGGTCTCTGTGAATGCACACAAATGGGTGATTAGCAAGCTTACTCACCGGAAGAAGGGCCGTCACGGTATCAAGGATGACAGTATCGCCCGTTCAAAGGCCGCATCACTTTTGGCTCTGACATCTAGATGGTAATGTCTGGCAAACGTCAGAGGGTTGGTCCAGGTAGCCGCCTTGCAGATATTCTATATCTGAATACCCTTGAACAGAGCTGTCGAAGTGGAGACTGCTCTGGTAGAATGGGCCTTCAGCCCATCCCGTATAGGCTTATTAGCAAGCTGGTAAGCCAGTTGCATGAGCTGGACTATCCATCGGGATATGGATTGTGAGGAAGCAGGAGCACCTCTATTGGGTCCATGATAGCACAGGAGAAGACGCGGAGAGCGCCGGATGTGTTTGGTACGATGAAGGTAGAAGACAAGAGCTCTTCTGACATTGAAGGTATGGAGTTTACGCTCTAATGGTGTGGACAGAGAAGGAAATAATGTTGGGAGCACAATAGGTTGGTTGATATGGAAATCCAATACCACCTTTGGTAGGAAAGAGACATTGAGGTATAAAGTAACCTTGTCATGGTGCATTTGGAGGTAAAGAGGGTCTGATCTGAGCACAGCTAATTCACTTCCTCTTCTGGCCGATGTGATAGCCACGAGAAAGGCAGTCTTTAGGGAAAGCATTTTCTCGGAATAAGTAGCCATAGGTTCAAATGGTGGCTTGGTAAGGGCTTCCAATACGAGTGGAAGGGACCATTGTAGTACAATGTGCTGTGAAGGGGGCTGGATATTCTGGAGGCCTTTTAAAAATCTTTTGAGTGTAGAATCGGAGAAAAGCTAGGCGGAGAGAGATTGAGGAGGTTGATGAGCCACAGTTGCTGAAATGTACACTTTGAGAGTGGAATGAGCCAGTCCAAGATTAAAGAGACGTAACAGAAAGCTAAGTACGGTGGGTAGGGATGCCGGTACTGTGACCAGTCCTTCAGATTTAGCAAATTTAGTAAAGGATTTCCATTTGCTGTCATAGAGGCAGGAAGTAGATGGCTTTCGCGCCTGGTCTAAGATCGCACAGAATTGGGGGTTATCCTTCACGCCGTCAGGTGAAGAGACCGGACATCGGGATGGAGAAGGGCCCTGTCGTTTTGCAAGAGGAGGGATGGTATTGGAGGTAAGTGGAGTATTTCCTCCGCTATTTCTGATAGGTGGGCAAACCAAGGATGGCACGGCCACCATGGAATGATGAGGATTGCGTTCATTTGATACTGAATGATTCTGGTTACAGTCTTGAGAAGCAGTGGTATTGGAGGAAAACAGGTAAGTGAGTTCCCCAGACCATGGTATGAGGAAGGCGTCTCCGAGGGAGGAGGTGTCTATGCCCGTTCTGGAACAGTAGCGGTTGCATTTGGCGTTCAGATGGGACGCGAAGAGATCTAGCGTGGGCTGTCTCCATTGACGGGAGATGTCCAAGAAAACTGCTTGATCGAGGGCCCACTCATGCATCCTGGTGGGCAGCCTGCTTAGGTGGTCCACCAGGGAATTGTCCTTGGATGCAATATGGTTCGCTTGGGGGAAAATGTGTTGCGTTCGGCACCATTCCCAGAAATGTATGGTCAGGCAAAGGAGGGGCAAGGATGGAGTTCCGCCCTGTCTGTTTATGTAGTGCATCACTGTGGTATTGTCTATTACCAGCTGTACTGCACGTCCCTTGATTCGTGGCAGAAAGTTTTGGAAGGCTTTTATGATGGCTAGCAGTTCTAGCTGATTTATATGAAGTGCCTTTTGGCGTTTTGTCCAGAGGCTGTGGACTTGTAGTTCTTGGCAATGAGACCCCAGCCTGAGGGACTGGCATCCGTGATGACCTGTATGGACAGGTATGGAGGGTGGAATAGCCTTCCCATCAACAGGTTGTTGCGGATCGCTCATCAGACGAGATGTCGCGCTACGTGTGGAGGGACCCGTAGCTTTTTGGCAGGAGAGTCCGTGACAGGATCGTACTGGGTGAGGAGCCAAGACTGAAGTGATCGGAGCTTGAGTCTTGTGTGAAGTACCACCGAAGTGGTGGACACCATCAGACCTAAGAGGTGCTGAGTATCATGTGATTGCTAACGGAGTGAATTTGTGGGCTGCCACCTGGATCTTGATGATCCGCTTAGGTGGTAGGAAGGCTCTCGTGTGAATGGAGTCCAGAATTGCTCCTATGTAGGAGACAATCCGGGAAGGTACGAGGTGTGACTTTTTCCTGTTGATTTTCAACCAGAGTCTGTTTAGGGTATATAGGGTGAAATTTATGGCAGAGACTGCATCTTGATAGGATTTTGCCACTAGAAGTCATTCGTCGGTGAAGGGGATTTTTTTTTTTTATCCCTGTGGTGCGAAGGTATGCCACGATTGGGGCCATGCATTTTGTGAATGTCTTGGGGGCTGTGGAAAGCCCGAATGGGAGAGCGGTGAATTGGAAGGTGTCGTGATGGAACTGGAACCGAAGACTTGTGAATGTCTTGGGGGCTGTGGAAAGCCTGAATGAAAAAGCGGTGAATTGGAAGGTGTTGTGATGGAACTGAAACCGAAGAAATTTTTGCTCAGACAGGTGGATGGAAATAGGCATCCTGCAAATCGATGACGAAGAACCAGTTTCCCTGAAACGGAAGAGGGAGAATGGAGTCATGAGTCAACATACAGAATTTCTTGTATATTATGTATTGATTAAGGTCTCTAAGATCCATTATGGGTCTGATACCACCGTCTTTTTTGGGGACTGCGAAGTAGCGAGAGAGAAAGCCCTCGCTGATGTCAGAGGATGGTACTCTGGTTATAGCCCTTTGGAAAGTAGAGACGAAATTTCCAGATGCAAAGGCATGGAAAATGGAGTAGTTATGACTGAATTTGGTAAAGGGGTTCATGAGAATTCAATCTGATAGCCTTTCTCAATGATGTTAAGAACCCACTCGTCGGTGGTGATGTTGTGCCATTCAGAAAGGAATGGGAGCAGTCTGGTGGTAAATGAGAGATTAGGAGAATTGCTTACCCCTATGCTGAGTCTAGACTGCTTGGGGCTGCGAAAGCGTTGTTGCTTGAACAGCGGAGCGGTGGACTGTTGAGACTGATAGGTCCGGTCCTGCTGTTGCTTATTGTACCGAAAGGGTTGGTACTGAGTGGAGGATTAATATATACAGGCTTTTTGTAGGCCTGTTTGTGGTACTGATACAGCTGGTATGGTACGTAGGATTTCGCTGTCTTCCTCATTTTGTGAATGTTCTCCATAATTTTGTCAGTTTTGGAGTTAAAAGAGTCCAATAACATCGAAGGGAAGATCTTTGATTTTAGTGTTAGTGTCATCGAGGATATTAGCCATTCTAAGCCACGTCTGACAGCTATTGAGGTTAGCATGGACTTGGAGGCAGTGTCAGCCGTGTGTTTTGCAGTGAACCTCTATTTCAAATCAAATCAAATCAAATCAAATCAAATCAAATCAAATCAAATCAAATCAAATCAAATCAAATCAAATCAAATCAAATCAAATCAAATCAAATCAAATCAAATCAAATCAAATCAAATCAAATCAAATCAAATCAAATCAAATCAAATCAAATCAAATCAAATCAAATCAAATCAAATCAAATCAAATCAAATCAAATCAAATCAAATCAAATCAAATCAAATCAAATCAAATCAAATCAAATCAAATCAAATCAAATCAAATCAAATCAAATCAAATCAAATCAAATCAAATCAAATCAAATCAAATCAAATCAAATCAAATCAAATCAAATCAAATCAAATCAAATCAAATCAAATCAAATCAAATCAAATCAAATCAAATCAAATCAAATCAAATCAAATCAAATCAAATCAAATCAAATCAAATCAAATCAAATCAAATCAAATCAAATCAAATCAAATCAAATCAAATCAAATCAAATCAAATCAAATCAAATCAAATCAAATCAAATCAAATCAAATCAAATCAAATCAAATCAAATCAAATCAAATCAAATCAAATCAAATCAAATCAAATCAAATCAAATCAAATCAAATCAAATCAAATCAAATCAAATCAAATCAAATCAAATCAAATCAAATCAAATCAAATCAATCAATCAGTCAATCAATCAATCCATCCATCCATCAATCAATCAAACTTGCCTAGTGAGGGTACTAGCCTCTTTGTAGATGTTGAGAGCCTCAGTTTTAGAGGGATCAGGCAAAGTTTGTAACATCGGGAGTATTTTATCCCAAATATGTTTCTGGTAAGCACCCATGGCCTCTTGGTAGTTGGCTATTTTAATTAGTAGGGCAGAGAAAGCATAGTTTTTTGCCTATGGTATCGGTCTTTTTTCCCTCGTTGTCAATTGGTGTAAGAGATGATCGAGTACGAGACTTATATTGGGTAGCTTCAACCACGATGGAGTTGGGCGAAGGATGTTTGGTGAGGAATTCAGAGTCCGATCCATGTGTTTTATAATGATGTTCTCTCTTGCGAGGGATTTGGGCAGCCGCAGGAGACTTATCCCAGGAGGTTTTAACCAGTTCAAAGAGAGCTGGTATAAGGCTTAGACTAGGAGGGGAGGCTTTGTCCTGCTCCATGTCATGAAAAACTAAGTCCCGTTCTTGTTGTGGGATCTGTGCATCTAACTGGAGAGTTTTTGCCATGCGCATGATCAGTTGTGCATATGATGAGAAGTCCTCCAATGAGGGTTGAGATGATGAACCCTGACCACCTGCATCAGGAACGTCAGAGTCACTGGATGCTGGAGAGTGGTCACCGTGGAAAGATCGAGAGGCGATTGAAGAGGAGCGTCGTGGTACCATGTCCTCTGGTACAATGTCCATGACAGACTGAGTGGATGGGGGAAAAGGCTCAGTATCGTGACCTCCTGGACCAGAGTAGAGAATAGTAGCCTGAACCGAGGAATGACGGCTGCTGTATATAGCACGTTTAGGAGGCGCTGTAGGTACTGTAGGAACTCGCTTCTTATGTGAAGGTGCCTGTGGTGTGGAGATATCCACTTGAGTCTGTGAATGATGTTGCATCGAATGATGTTGCATCGGTGGGGCGACGGTACGGTGCCACGCCAGTTGAGGAAAAGTAGTACCTCGGTACTCTGGCAGGTAAGCATAACCCTGGTATGGCTGGTATGGAGCGTAGAAAGGGTGGCCAAAATGTGGCGGACCCTGTTGCCGGTACCCATCTCCTGCATCTTGAGGTTGGTACGGAGTGGTATGTCTACACTTTTCCGTCCTTTTTCTAGGAGTGTCATGGACAGACTCCTGCTCCAATGGAGACTCGGTATCAGCCCACCCTGAATATCGAGGGCTAGATGGGGCAATGGTGCAGCCTCAAAATGGCCCAGGTTCGGAGACATACACATAATGTCCTAAGCCGTCTGGGCTGGAGGAATGTGCTCCTCAGCATCAGAGAGTTCAATGTCTTCCCTCGAAGACTCCTCGAGCAATATCAAAAGAGCGGGAGGAGGTAAAGCGGAGAGTTTAGATGGCTTCTTCAGTTTTTTTTTTTGTTTGTTTATTGTTGGTTTTCTTTTTTGCAGAAATGGTGGGACGTGAAGACGCCTTGGCATTGGGCGGTTTAGAGGCTTCCTTGGACTTCACAGGCAAGGAGATGGTAAGAGCCGCCTATTCAGCAGGGAAAGGCACGGATTTAGAGACCTCCGAACATGGAGGAGTTGGTGTAGGGAGGGAAGGAACCTCCTTAGCAGGAAGAAGAGTCTTTTCGTAGAGGAAAGAACGAAGTCGTTGGCGCCTGAGCTTAATGGCTTGTTTAGAAAAGCCCCTGCAGGCGATGCAAGTCTGATCGAGGTGGGATTCACCCAGACAAAACAAGCATTTATCGTGACCATATGACAAAGGAATTTTTCGGGAGCAGACGGCACACTGCTTGAAGCCCCGAGGGGCCATAAAAGAGAAGCAGAATCCGTAGATGGGGGGAAACAACAGAACGGAGGCAAATAAGCAGAAAGGCAGGTTCTGTCGAATAAACAACAAAATAAAGTAAAAGGGAGACAAAAAAGACTAGCTAGGCTAGGATACTTAGCAAATATTCGCTCTGCTCTTCCTGACGTCCTACTGGAATGGCAGAAAAAGATTAAAGACTAGCTAGGCTAGGATACTTAGCAAATATTTGCTCTGCTCTTCCTAACGTCCTACTGGAATGGCAGAAAAAGAGGAACTGAAAGGAAGGTTGAGGAGGTGGAGCCTACACCACGCGAGGGGAACTAAACTGCTTCTTTTTCAAAGCTCTAGAATCTTCCGGACGTCCTGTGCAGGCGCAGGATTAACCCATTTGTGTGCATTCACAGAGACCACTACGAAGAACATAAGTAAGTCAATGCTAAAGTACATAAAGTCTAAGCTCTCTCTAGAAGCAAAACATAACGACAAGCTGAAGGCAGCAGGAAAAGATGAATAGCAAGTATGTGATGAATTGGCTCTATAAAGGAAGTCACAGGCTTGAGTTTGTAACAGGATCTTTCCAAGGTCACTACAGTGGTGCCTCGCTTAGCGATTGCTTCCTTTAACGATGTAATCGCTTAACGATTAGTTTTCCAGAGCAATCTTGCGCTCCGTTTAACAATGTTTCCTATGGGCGATTTTCGCATAGCGATGTTTGGGACCTTGCTTCGCATAGCGATGACAGTTTGGGTCCCCCTGTTTCGCTTAACGATGGTTTTGACAGCCTCGTTGGCTGTCTTTTAAATGTTTAAAATGTTTTTAAAAGGTTTAGAATGCTTGATATCATAAGTGCACTTAATAAACCCTTTGTTAAACTAATTTGACTTTGTTCTGACTCTTTTTGAATTTGTTGTAATTTTTCCCCCATTGAGATGCATTGAATAGGTTTCAATGCATTTCAATTGGGTAACCGCGTTTCGCTTAGCGATGTTTCCTATGCCGATTTTCGCTTAAGGACGGCAATCCGTTCCCATTGGAACGGATTATCCGGTTTCAATGCATCTCTATGGGAAAACGAGTTTCGCTTAGCAATGTTTTCCCATAGCGATGTGTTTTTTTTGTACCAATTAAAATCGTTAAGCGAGGCACCACTGTAATTCATAACATTACCATAAGTGGGAAGGAAAATGGCAACATGTAACAAGAACTGCTGGATAGCTCAATGGCTTGGATATTCGGCTGTAAAGCCAGAAGTTGGGAGTCCAATTCACAACTGTGCCTCCTTGACAGGGGCTGGACTTGATGATCCATAGGGTCCCTTCCAGTTCTGCAGTTCTAAGATGATGATTATGAATATACTGTACCTTCCTGTCATCATGTCATTACCTGCTACTGTAGCCCCTGTTCAGCCATTGTATTAGCGTTCCAAACAAGATTAGAGACAACACCCTAGCCCTCCCATTGTCACTTTCTAGAGTCTGAAGAGGAGAGAGGTTTCTGCTTTCATCTAGGGTCTACATGTGAGGAAGAACCCCGCTTTTCTAGACTTCTTGCTCACATGTTGAGCATACAGGTGAATAGCAATCTTCTCTTCACAGAGGAGACAGATAAAGACCCATGAAATTCCAATTATCATCTCTACAACTGATGTATCCTGGGTAAGAAGGTATGACAATCGCAGCGCATGAAGGCTGATCCTGAGGCTTCAGTTATCCAGCAACACACTACTTTACTGCCTACACAAGAAGACTGCTCTGTTGTGCTGTTAATTGGCAAATGAGTCAGCATTAAGATTGTCTGAAATGGCTCCTAGACAAATCTTTTTACAGATCAATAATGGTAGGCAGAGAGAAAGACATTTCCAAATAGTGGTCAATTATTTCTTAACTGCCCCCTCCCATTTATACGTACCTTACTTTATAACAAAACCCTCAAAGCTGTTTACACAAATTAAAATTGTACAGTTAGCAGCACTGAGAGCTGACTTGAAGGGAAGTGGAATCCTAACTAATATTCAGCTACATTAAAAATGTGTTTTATATAAAGTAGAAGTAATCTATATCAAAGGTCATTATTGTTCAATTCAGAAAGCATCTATACTTAGCTAACTTAGTGGCTACATATATATTTTAAAATGAATTTGGAATTATATATTAGACTGTGAAAGGGTATTTTACGTGGACCATATTTGACGAACTGGGCCTTTCTTACAGAGTAAAGGCTCTGCCCTATGCTGTTGCTATGTGGTCAAACATATAAAGAAAAATTATGCTTTTCAAGGGAAAATGTCTCAGTGAGACAAGTAACAGCCTCTGGGACTTACACAGCCTGCCCCTCTGCTGCTAAAAGTACACCACGCCCACACACACCCACATACACAATCATAAAGAAAAAAACAAGTCATTGTTCTCTGTGCATTTTATGAACTGTCCACTTCAACAGTTAAGGAAGTCAATTTTTCCATATTTGAGTTTAATAATTTCACTGTTTTCCCTGTATTAACAAAAATGCTTCCTATTGTGCAACACTATCATAAAAACTTTGTGTATGTTACATTAATACAATTAAATAAACTACAAATTAACACTGGTTTTCTAACAAGGGAAAGAGAGAGAGAGAGAGAGAGACCATACAGTTACTCCGTATCTGATGAACTGGACTTGTCCACAACAGCTCACATTAAAAAAATATAAAAGTTAATCTTTGAGGTGCCACCACGCTTTTTACTTAAAATGTCATAAGGTACTTTACTGGTTTAAATTTTGGAATCTCCCAGTTCACTGCTTTAAACTTAAGACTTGAAAAGGTTGACAATTTAGACAGTTACCTTAAAAAACTTACCAATGACTTCAGCACTTGAGGGCTAGTTACTTCAGCCACTAAACTGAAAGCCAAAATGCAGTGTACAGTCAAGAACCAAATCAATGTTGATCATGTGACAGGAGCAACATCAGAGGTAAATGCTGAGGTAAATTAGACAGCGGAAGAATTTAGGTGCGAAAAAAAAAGTACAGTACTGTACTTCTTTGTAGTGTATAGCTACAAAGCCACACAAAGATGGCTACCACTGGTAATGGCTGTTTTGAAATCAGCAGGAGGAAGAAATAAGGAGAAGCATGCATTATAGTGATCTGAGGCAGTGTTGCAGAGTGAGTACAATATCAGACAAGGTCTGGAGTCATCCAGTTCCAAATCCCCATTTAGCTATGAGCTTCATCAGCAGACTCTGAGGCACACGGTTAGAGGACTGTTGTGCGAAGAAAATGGAAGAGGAAGCTGTGTATATTTAGAGGAAAGGTCGGAGATAAATAAGTGGCTCTTTCGTTGGGGTAGATTTGAGATGTTTTTAGTGGTACGATGATATAAATATTATCTGATTTTATTATCATGTAAAGTGAGTGTTGCCTACCCCAATAACCAAAAGGTAGAATGAGGCAGCCACCTCAAGAGATAGATTTTGAGTATGATGAAAATCTGGCAACACTTATATTGCATTTTAATTTTTTAATTTTAATTCTTTTTAAACTTCCATGGAGATGGATATCTGTCCCCCTTTTTAGCTCAGGTGTCAAAACCACATAGTTGGACTTTGAGACTTATGCATTATGACTCGGGAGTGGAGGAAGGTACTGTACTATCTGCTGGTGTGCCCTCAGACATATTTCATATTTCCAACCCTTCTGCATCTTCTCCCTCCCTTCCTATAGCTTATCTTTTAGAGTATAATCTCTCTCTTTTTTTACCACATCTTTGTCTTGCTAATCATGCTTATGGTACAGAGACAACATACTGTAAGTTGTTAAGGCAACCTGAACTGTTACTAGTTTGTGGCAATTAAACAATCAGCTCTCTACAGTTAAGCTGACACATTTTGGGGGAAATTTGCTATTTGATAAAATTCCTAACAACATTTCAGATAATCTGATATTAATTTGCTGAAAAATGAACGTCCATTTTTCCCGAGCATCTGTATAAACTTCATCTGTCTTGGGCCCTGAAATATCTTCCACAATATTTTTGGCTAGTGAGAACATTAAGTGCAGGCCTCAATGCTTGAAACAGAATTTGAATGCCACCCTGTTCTTCAGTACAATTTCTAGAGCATATTAGAAGAGAAGAGCATTTCCACATTTTCTAATCAATTTCTTCCACAATAATATCAGGCCTAAAAACACCCTTAGGCCAGAAAACTGAGGAAGAAATTAATAATTAATCTAAATCCCTACCAGCCTAGCAGAATGACACTTTAAAGTGTGTATTTGAAGAGAAACCTGAGCAAACGCCAGTCAAAGCCCTTCTTTGAACACCAGCACTCAGGTACTCTTGCAGGTGGCAGGATTTATGAGGCTGCTCCAGCAAGCCAGTTCTGAGAGCCCTTTTCTCAACAACACATCCTGGTGCCATTTTCAGAAGTCACTTTTTTCACGTTGCCTTTTCATTGTTTCAACTTCCTTTTTCATTCACAGTAAGAAAGAATAGAAAGAGAAAACCCACAATACTTTAAACTTAAGGCTATTAAAAATTTAAAAAAACACGCAAAAGGAACTGGGACAGGGAAGAACAGAGAGGATATTTTCGCATAGCTGAAAGGGCTTTTTTCTTTTTCAACCTGCTTTTGAAGAAGTCAGGCCATAACGATCTTTCCCTTTCTAGCTGCCTGTTGCTCTTGATAAAGGTGAAGAAGAACAACTTGTGTTGGGTTGAGAAGAACAAATCCTTTCTTTTGTTCTTGGCAAAAATCTTTGCTAATTGCTGGTGGCTGTTTTCGATATTGTCTGCTAACAATGGGAAAAAGAAATGTAACACAGAATAGAGAAATAAAATCAATGGGCAAAAAAGAAAAATAGAAATCTCTTTTCAGGGGCTTCAGACTAGAAAGGTGAAATACAGGAGTACAGAAAGAGGATAAAGTAAAGGAAATGTCAGAGGTCTCAAAAATAAATAAATGATCCAGTACTGCTTGGGTGAGCCCCATCTTTCCTATCAGGTTTTACAGGGGGCAATACGTTTTATTCATTGCCAGGCCTGACTTATCACAGCCTTGTTTTTAATGAGGTATAATAAGGAGAACATTTTGTAACAACACGGCTCCTCTATTTTATCCGACAAACAGCTGTGTCATGGCCGTCGCAGCGAGAATGAATCATATCTCTCTGCCTGCATATGCGAACTCCCATGTAATTACCCTTGCATCTTAAATAAAGCAGGCCCTAAACCTGTCGCTCAGATTACAAGCAAGCGGAGCAACCCTCGTAACTGAGGCCTCTATCATTACAATTAATTTATCACAGAAGCACTGAGATTAGAGACTGGAATTAAAACACAGTAAGGAGGGTACCACCACAATGACAACAAATGAGCCAGGGAAGACAGGAAGAGCTGA